TACTTTCAATCTAAGAAAATACATGTTTCACTCAACAATTATTGACAACGTATTTTGTTTTTTCGCTATTTTTTCGATATATTTCGACAATTCCATCGACAGCCTAACCGGTCGTTCTTCTCTGGCCTAACCGTCAGCCAAGAACCGCCGCGTGTGAATTGGTCCTTTGAGTCGCCGGTCGCCGCGCCGTCGTGGCGGGCTTGCGTCAGACGATGATGTTAAGCAACGTTGCCGTAGTTACAACAATTTCAAATTCAAGACATTCGAAGCAATCAAATTCGTATTAAATTTTAAAAATAAAACAGAGAAACATGAAAGGAAATAAACAAAACAAAAATGAATTGATTATTCGTCGGGCTGTTTTCGATGTATTGAATTCTGAATTACGATAAACATTTTAGAAATTTCTTTTTTGTGACCTTAACAATAACCAATTAATTTGTGTTTTGTTTGTTTCCTTTCATGTTGTTCTGTTTTATTTTTAAAATTTAATAAGAATTTGATTGCTTCGAGTGTCTTGAATTTGAAATTGTTGAAACTACGGCAACCTCGCATGACGCAAGCTCGACACGGCGGCGCGACAAAGGAGCAGTTACCAGTGATGCGCCGCTCTCTTGGCCGGTGGCCGACGCGACGATTGGGCTGTCGATGGAATTGTTGAAATACATAGAAAAAATAGCGAAAAAACAAAATATGTATTTAAAATTGTTGAGTGAAACATGTATTTCCTTAGATTGAAAGTAGTTCGTAAAGTGGCGGTGAGAGACAATAATTCTCAACATTTATTCATTCAGAAAGGTATTCAAAGTAATGTGTGCTTTTCAAGGAGTTTTGTAAATCAGTGATTCAAATTGTGATGAGGCCTATATGAAAATAATGTGTTAAAAATGGGGACACTGTTATTTTAGTAGTTATTATAATAACTACAGCATGTACAAGTAAAGCAGCACAGTGAAGTGTATTTTAGTTAAGTGTATATCGAAAAAGAGAATTGTCACAGTTACAATCTGTCATAAGTATCTTTTTTAATGTTGGGTAAGTTTTTTAATTTAACTTTTTTAACACATTTTTTAACACATTATTAAACATTTAACTTTTAATTTATTTTATGTAATAATATCACAATCTTAAAAATGTAATGAATCTCTGCAAACTCGTCAGGTGTTGTGATTTTATGACTTACTTTTAACATACACTTTCTTGTCCCTATGGCAACACAGTGCGTCGAATTAACTGAAATCCTGGCTTGATCCGGGTAATTGGATGTAGTTGGCGATATCTGCCGGCGGTTCTCAAAATGTTGCGATTATTTTTTTAAATTTTCAAAGTTAAATAACTCGGTTATTTTCAATTTATTTTAAAAATGGCAAAGAGAAAATATGTTTATTTTGATCAGATCTACCACTCCTTAAAATATCTGCACTCATTTCTGGGACACCCTGTATAAAATCCTTAAATGACTGACATACTGATTAATCACGATTCTGCTCAAACCACTCAACGTAAGAAGCTCAATTTTGGCATACAGGTTGATTCTAGGGTGTAGAGGTTCGATAAGAAGGGATTTTTCGAAATTCCAGTTCCAAGGGGGTGAAACCACCCCTCAAATATTACAATATTTTTTATTTAAAAACGGTCAAGTTTCCGAAAAACGCTTAAACATGTATATTTTATTTTGTTTCTTTACATATTTTAAGATTTTTTAAAAATGTATACAGGGTGTTTCGAAAAAATCTGGTCATTGATTAATCACGATCCTACTTAAAGCGCTTGACGTAAAAAAGCTGATTTTTGGAAAACAGATTGACTTTAGGGTGTAGAAGTTCGATACGAAGGGATTTTTCGAAACTCGAATTCTAAGGGGGTGAAACTATCCCTCAAATATTAAAATATTTTTATTTAAAAACCGGTGAGTTTTCGGAAAAACTCTTAAACACGTATATTTTATTTTGTTGTTTTACATATTTTAAGATTTTTATAAATTTATACAGGGTGTTTTATAAAATATGACCATTGAGTAATCACGATTCTGCTTAAATTGCTTGACGTTTAAAGCTGATTTTTCGTAAACGGATTGACTGTGGGGTGTAGAGGTTCGATAAGGAGGGGTTTCTCGAATCTCAAATTCCAAGAGGATAAAAACGCCCCTCAAATATTACAATATTTGTTATTTAAAAAACGGTTAGTCTTTCGGTAAAACGCTTGGACAAGCATAATTTATTTGGTTTTTTTACATATTTTGAAATTTTTTAAGAAATCATACAGGGTGTTCCAAAAAGTTGGGTAATTTCTTAACCACGATTCTGCTTAAACTGCTTGACGTAAAAAGCTTATTTTTGGCAAACGGATTTTTCGAAAGTCAAATTCCAACGACATGAAACCACCCCTCAAATATTACCAAGTTATATAATAATATCGCCATATTGTTTTTTTTCATGCTGACATAAATGTGAGAAAATTTTATCCAGTTTGTATGTTAATGGAAATTCTTGCTTTGCTTTATCATCACCATTACAAATGATTAATTCGACGCGAACGAAGTCGCTGGTACACGCTAGTGAATTTATATTATATGAAGGTAGAATAAATTAGTATTAGTATGGCAACAATCGAGTAATGATTTACCTGACCCTAAACACATTTTACATGGCGATCCTGCCTACGGACTCGTAATCTATGTCCGTTGGGCACCTAAGTAACGGTGTGGACGTAAATTTGAATTAAGTAACATTAAAATAATCAAAAATGGGAAAAACAGTGTCGAAAGAAAGTGACGTTGTCAATGAGACACATTCTTTTTGAATGCTTACCTGTTGCCTCCCATAGGTCTAGATTCTTTAATGCTGTAAACAGATACAAGTCTACAAGAAGTCGTTGGAACGTCAACGATTTCTTGTAGACGTATCTGTTTTAAAAAGTAAAGTGTTCTCGAATAGTTCAATTTAAATATTTTAAATAGTTTTTTTCTTGATTCTTTATATTTTTTTGCTTCCGACGACGGAAAGAGAAAACTTTCCGAAACGTTAAGCATTTTTTTCTTTGTTAGGCAAATTTTTATAACTGTAAACACAACTTCTGACAAGCAGCGTCCGTTTAGGTTTAACGCAGAAGTGTTTACAAATAATAACTATTTTATTTTGTAGATTTTTCTTGCAGTGCAGTGGCGAAATACCCATAAAGGATTTTTTTGGATAAATTAGTATTAGTATGGCAACAATCGAGTAATCATTTACCTGACCCTAAACACATTTTTACAACACAGACTGCTCATTCGCGGCAGTTTGAGGCCGGATGAGATCGGATATCTCGTGTAAGTCGATTTAGATACTCGCCAAGTCGGTAGACTATTGACCATGATATGGCCGAGGACCGCGGTTCGGATTCCACCTAAACAAAGTAGACCCCTTCCAGTTTAGCCCTGGCAGCAAAAAGGAGACGTTAACTTAACAAACAAATTAAATAATTTTATTTCCTTTTTGGACTCACCTGTATAAAATAGCCGATTAGAGTTAAATGTTTTTATTTTTAGTATAAACAAAGATAATAAGATAAGTTTACTGTCCTACATAAGGGAGCTCAGAGAGCTCAAAATTTTAACTTTGTCCCCTAGACCATTTTGACACAAATTACCTATAACAGATGCGAAAGAAAGCGACTGCATCGGAAACCGTTCGGCAATCCCGACACGCCTATTGAGTGGTGTAAATACATCAGTCGTTTAGTCCGGAAACCCATGCTGTGTCGTATTCGCTTGCTGGAGTGACATAGTGCGTGGTTATATGTTTCTTTTTAAAAACGCGTGTAGGATTTTTGTTGAACTTTTAAACTGTTATTTCTAAGTTTTGGTAATTTGTATATCTTTTTTAAAATGGGATGTGTTTATTTATAAGGAAAAAAAAGATATTTATAGTATAAAAAATTAATTTATTTAACAAAATTTAATTAAAAATGTGACAAAATAGTTACCTTTCTATTGGTTCTATCGGACTTTTTTCGACTATATAAATCTTTATTTGTAAACTTTAATACATCAAATATTTTTAATTTAATAAATCATTTAATGATGTAAATAAGAGGAAATTTCTCACATGGGTGGTCAAATTTTATAGTTTTCATTATATCAAACAGCCTCTGAGAAATGTTTTCAATTCAAAATGCCTTTAATTATGTTTGACTACATCATTAAAAAGGGTCTTCAAATACATCAATGTGATATTTGTCTAAAATTTGCAAAAGAATCCGAATCTCTGGATAACTCGAAATTATTTACCCATTTAAAAGCCTTTGATCATGAAAGTGGAAAAATTTGTTCATTTTATTTACAGGCTGGAAAAATTATTTATATTAAATTTTGATGAGTTTTGCACTGAAGAAAACATTCAGAGGCTGTTTGATATAATGAAAACTATAGAATTTGACCAACCATGTGAGAAATTTCCTCTTATTTACATCATTAAATGATTTATTAGATTGAAAATATTTGATGTATTAAAGTTTACAAATAAAGATTTATATAGTCGAAAAAAGTCCGATAGAACCAATAGAAAAGGAACTATTTTGTCACATCTTTAATTAAATTTTGTTAAATAAATTAATTTTTTATACTATAAATATCTTTTTTTTCCTAATCTCCTACGAACTGATATAATATGACGAGTAATCTATTAAATTACTGTGAGATTATATGCCTCGATAACATATTGGTGCAGATTATTTTCACCCAAACAAATAATAACCCAAACTATACATTGATGCGGATTGTCTATGAACTCTTTCTGAAGGTCACAGAAACCGGAACGCGGAATTCGATGTTCTTTCGCATCTGTTATAGTTAATTTGTGATTTTGATGTGTGTATTTCAGTGGCAGAATACCCAGATTTTTTTAATAAATAAACTCGCCTCAAAAGTATAGCCCATTTATTAATATTCTTAATATTATCTTTAATATTAAGAATACTAATCTACTAATTTCAACTACCACTAAAAGTTTAAAACTTACAAAACTTGTGGATCTTTATGTATCCAAAATTCACGAGTTGGGTCGGATGATCCTCTTGGTTGCTCGTCATCCCACTCCTTGCCGATTTTAACAAATCTTTCTTGTAATGGCTTATAAAGATCAGTTTGAAGTGTTATCTACAAATTTTGTAATTAATAAACCAAACTAATAATTTTAAGTTTCATTTTATGATCACATAATCATTTTTTTTTGTTTGAATTGAAGCTCAGAAAATTCAAAAATGGTTGAATGAAATAATAGACAAAAGCCTTTATGTTAAGGAAATATAATATGATCGAAAAAAAAAACGGCGTCAGTGATGGCGATGAAATGAAGATCGCTGTTATTTCATATGCATGGGGAATAATATCGATAGAACATTTCCAAGCCAACTGGACGCGGTTTTTTTCGATCATAAGGTAAAATTTTACATCGGAAAAAATCATAGGATGCCGACTTAAGGTATGTTGTCTCTTGCCTGGTTTTGCATTGTTGCTTCTCTATCTGTAGATGTTTATTTTATATAGGATGGCTTTCGCCACATTTCATGCTCAACAATGGCATCTTATAAACTACGAGACATACGAACTAGTTAAAATGAGATAAAGGTTGCTATAAGTAATGCTAAAAGTAGTTGTAGCAAAAAATTATCTTCAGAACTATTATATTTATTGCAAATTATTTATTGCAAAGTAAGTTGGTGGTTTTATATTTTTGACTTCGTACATTTGGCATAATTCTCTAGATATCGCATAACAAGAACTAAGTTTTTGTTTTCTTACAACCTCCATAAACTTTTAACATTATACAGGGTCGCTGTTGTGTATGGAAACGGTCGAATATTAGGTGAATTATAGGAGGTATACCGCAAAAAGTTAAATACAAAAGTTATAGGATTATTTAAATATCTATTATCTATTATTATAAGTATAAAAGTATATATTAATATATTATTATTATTATATTATACAGGGTCGGTCATAAAGTCGTGGCACATAAAAGTTTAATTTTTTTAAAATAGAACCCTCTGTATATTACTACATATTTATTTCTATTCTCCCTTCAATTCTAAGCAAAAATCGAAATACACACAATGTACCTCAAACCAACCGTTTACGAGTTATTGTTTTTTTTAAATATTACTTAAACAATTTGATTTAATTAATTTCGATATGTTCAGTTTCATTTAACGATGCCATTTTGCCCGAAACTGTGATAGTTAATAATATTTAACATTAGTTCTCAAGTTACTATTTATAGATGTATAAAATAAGATTATATCAAGTCTGGAAATTACAAAGTTTCCGTTTAACATTTCAATTCTTTAATTTATATACATTGTATTCAGGGTGAAATATACATTGTATACGGGGAAAAATATTTCAGAGATTTATACGCAGAAACAGATGAACCAATGGAAGCACAAGAGACAAGCCAAAGAGATAATACAGAAGATCATGGGCAATTAGATGGGCTAAAAGTAGAAGAGACAATAAGGAAACTTAAAAATAGAAAATCTCCTAATCAAGATAAAATACCAAATGAGCTAATAAAAAACGCAGGCACGGCTATCATAGAGGAATACACAAAACTGTTTGACATTATATTACAACATAAGAAAATACCAGAAGAATGGAAACAAAGTATAACAATACCTATTTTTAAAAAGGGAGATATAACAGACCCAGCAAACTATAGAGGAATAACATTACTGAGCACCTCGCTAAAACTTCTGACTATGATCATTGCGGACAAAATCTCCTCAATAGTGCCAATAAACGAGGAACAACAAGGATTCCGAAGAAACCGATCAACTCTACCGATGCACTATTCATACTCAGGCAACTAGTTGAAAAATCCTGAATGAAAAAAGAATATAACTCTCCAGCCTATCTTTAACAAAGGCCTTTGATAGAATCCAACTAAAAGACATCATCACCATCTTGAAAAGCAGTAATGTCTCGAAAGAACTCACAGAACTTATCAAGGACTTAAACACAAACACAACAACCCAAATAAGAACAAACTTTACCTTAACGCAGCATCTTCGAACTACAACTGGTATTCGCCAAGGCGACAGCCTCAGCCCTCTGTTATTCAACACAATCATGGATCAAGTAATAAAAACCGTCAAGAATACTGGATTATCGAATGGGAATGCATAAAGTAAACATATTATGCTATGCCGATGACGCAGTACTTATTGCAGAGTCAGAGGACGACCTCCAAAGAATGCTACAAGCTTTTAACAGACAGGCAGAAAAACTTAACATGCAAATTTCCACAAATAAGACTAAATGCATGACCATTACAAAGGAGCCTCTACGGTGCAAATTGGTAATAAAAAACAAAACTATTGATCAGATAATGTCATTCGAATACCTCGGATGCAAAATTACAAGCTCAGGATTCCTGGAAGAAGAAGTAAGGAAACAAGCCAATAAAGCTGCCGCAATATCAGGACATCTTAAATATCCCATATGGAAAAACAAACATTTGAGTACAGAATGTAAGTCAAGAATATACAAAACCTGCATACGACCAGTGATGACATATGGTGCGGAAACCAGAGCTGAAACATCAGTAACAAAGAGAATCCTACGAACTACTGAAATGAAGACCTTAAGAATGATAACTGGATACACACTGAGGGACAGACAGAGAAATGTAGACATAAGAGAAAAGTGCCAAACAAACGACGTTGTCAGATGGATAAGGCAGAGAAGAAGAGAATGGAACCAGCATGTCAATAGAATGGGCCCCGACAGAATGGCCATAATAATTCGCAACAACGTACCCCATGGCAGAAGACCTACTGGACGACCACCTAAATGTTGGCAAGACAGTTGGCAGTCAACCTCGCAAGAGTTGCTTAGACGAGGAGGAAACCGGAACTAAACAGGCGATACGCCTTCTAAAAGAAGAAGAAGTATACAGGGTGCTACAAATTCGAGGTACGAGCATTAGTATCTCGGTAACCGTAATAGATACGAAGATGGTTAAATTGGGGCAAAGTTGCGCCTTGGGATGTTCACCAAAATGCCATCAAAAAAGTTTTAAAAATTTCAAGGATTGCAGAGTTTTTTGGAAAAAACGGATTTTTTTGAAAAAAAAAATATTTTTTCCTGTCGTTAGTTTTTAGAAAATCAAAAAACTAATTGCAGATTCTCATAGCCACTCTATTAGGGCTATCTGATAGTATTTTTAGATTTTGAAATTAGCTGATAATTTGTGAGATACAGAGGCCGACTTATTTTTTTAAATACGGACCTGCATTTTTTATTTCAGATTTTGAAAGAACTCGGTCTCCTGAGTACAATATTATGCCACACTTTATACTTTTTTTTGTTTTGGACATTTGAACACAAAATTTATTTAATCTAATTTCAAGTCCGGCTCTGTTTTTTAAATATTTAAATTATTCATCGTTACAATATTGATAAGCCTTCAAACTTAACTATGACGTGGGGTAAAACATTGAATACGAAAAATTAAATTCAATAAAAAAAATTGCATTACTTGACGTCATTTGTAAAAGTGAAATCAATATTTTTCAACGTTTACAATAAAGAGAACAAAATGCATAAGTATAAGAAGAAGATATGTTCAAAGAGCTATAAATAAAATTGAAAGAATAATACATTTGTGCAATAGGCAAGGTGGTAACCCTTTGGAACATGTAGATCATTAGAAACTAGCAGGGTTGGCATGATTTAAATCAAATGATTTAAATCATGATTTAAATCATGATTTAAATCAAGTGATTTTTTTAATTTTAATCATGTGATTCAAATCAAAAAATAATTTTATTGAAACTTTATAATAAATCAAAAAATAACTGTAAAAGTTATAAAAATGTTCCGAGAAAACTATAAACATTTTCTATAACAGATGTCGCAGATAATAAATCGAAAAATAATTGTAAATGTTATAAAACTATATAAAAATATCTATTCAATTTAATTGTTGGACCGATTTTCGAACTAATTTCGTGTGAATCCATTAGACCGCTAAACACAAGGATTTATTTTAAAATTTCTGTATAAGTGACAAAAATTCGCTGTTCAAATACATATCATTCGCAAAGTCTAGTGCAGAACTAGGTTCTTCTAATATAGAGATTATTCCCGAGAATCTATAATTGTTGTCAGAAAATATATGTTGTTTTATTTTTTTTTGAAACGGTTGTATTTTTCCAAATTCCTACCGACATTTTAATCTGGAGTAAGTACTTTACACTTTGATATTAGATAATACATACTAATTTCATTCTCGACTTAAGACTATTTCCGAACAATAGTGTATTGCTTTATTAGGAGTAAAAATTATACTTTTTTTGACGATGTTGTACCTTGATCGTAAAGCTATTCCAACGTTACAGGGAGGTACAAAAAGTACATTTTTATTCCGAAAAGAACATACTATTTTTTTTTAAACATTGCAAATAAGTTTTTAATCAATTTCAAACATTGCAAATAATATAAACAGTAATCGAACAACAATTTGTACCAACGACCTCTAACCCAATAGACGCAGCATTCCTATACCGATTGTATTGGTCTGTTTTGTCTGCGCATAAACAATAACCGATGATAGGCGGGGCGAAGCGGGAGGCTCAAAATGTAAACACGGGTCAGGGGCGTGCTTACGTATTTAAATTAATTATTAAAAATTAGACAATTTAAGTCGACAATGTCTTGTTATTGTTGTGTTATTGTTTTAGGTTATAACGAGTGCGACACGATCGAAGATAGGTTGTCTCTGTCGTAACGGTCGTTCCCTGACGACTCTGCCGAGAAACACAACACTGTCTTTCGTTTCTCAAGTACACCTGAACTCTCCGTATCATAGCCGGGTAATTTTTTTATTTTAATGAAGCTATAATTAAATTAAAAATATATCGTATTGAAACTTTTTTATATTTTATTAAGATTTAAGACAGGTTTTTTAAATAAAAGTTTAGAAAAAACGTCTTAGAGTCCAAAAAGGATAAAAATATTAAAATACACGTCATAGAAGAAATTTTATAATCGAAATTACGTAATTTTTGAAATTAATAATAAATTATTAATTTTAGTCAAACATTTACAACCCCTAATATTAATCAAAACAGGATCTATTCCACAGATATAATAGAATCGGCGACAGGGAGAAAAAAAAAATATGATTGTTGTAATTTTATTTCTGGTTAAGTGATGTCTTATTATGTAAATTAGAGAAAACATAAACCTGTTCCATTAAAGCAAGGAAGGTGATAGAAAGTGGATAAAATGAAAACTACATTTATTTAACTCGGTACTGTCTTCATTATACCGGGTGCGTCCCAAAAGTGGCTCATCCCCATAATTTTTTTATATTTTCAAATAAAAAAAACAAGATTTAGTATGTTAGTATATAACATAAATTAGGATTGATTGACGCATTCAATTGTTTTTGGTCACTTCCTGTTTCACCGGAAATGACTATAACTTTTAATTTTTAAAGGGCACCCTTGGTATATTTCTACTTTATTCGATGGAAAATGACACTCTGAATAGAATGACATATATCATATGTCAACTTTTGACATTTTTGCATATGGTTTAATTGTAATTGTAACACGCGGTTCATAACGACAATTTGACTCGAAATACCAAGTGTGTGGTATCAATATATTCATAAAAAAATGCTTTTTCCAAATATGCTAATGAGTCACCCTTGTTCCATTTGAAAAAATTGACACATGTATGATTAAAAATATGATTTGTACATCTTTTAATCGGCCTAGACAAGACACGAAACCCATTAGACGATCAAAACTATTTTTCCAAGGCTCCTTGATTAAAACTTAGTGTTTTTAACAACACCATGGCACCCTGGATTGAAATTTATAATACGATTTGTTTTTAAGCGACAATGTCAAAAGTTGACATATGATATGTCATTCTATTCAGAATTCTATTATCATTTTCTATCGAATAAAGTAGAAATATACCGAGGGTGCCTTTAAAAATCAAAAGATGTAATCATTTCGGTGAAACAGAAAGAGACCAAAAACAATTGAATACGTCAATAAATCCTAATTTATGTCATATACCTACTAACATACAAATCTGTTTTTTTATCTGAAAAAATAAAAAAGTTATAGCGGTGAACCACTTTTGAGACGACCCGGTATATTAAAAAATATTGTTTCATAATGTAATATCATTTTAAAATTCTTGTATGTTATTTTAGATTCTGAAGATAATTTTAGAATAAACCGGAATATATTTTTAATAAAAACATTATTAATTATTAACAGGGTTATAATTATGATTTTGTTACAATGCAAGTAAGTAAATAATGTAAGAGAAAAAATTCAGATTTTACATTTTATTAAAATATTATATAAATAAGCGCCTTTCTACAACAACGCCACTGACTCCCAATGGATAAATTGAGAGTTGCCTACCGGTTGAAAGTCGTTTCAAGACTTAAATGGATTATTTAAGTCAAATTTCTTGCAAATTTGGCACTGGTGAACCATATTTTATAGTTCTTGAACAGAAAAAGTCAATAAAATAAACACTAAGGACTACAAGCTAAGAAAATGCGTTAATACAGCCGGGGGTATACCCAGCCGGGGACATAGCGGCAACAAAGCTTTACCGCACACGTGCGACGCGTACTACAAGGTAATAAATGAATGAATAGGCTCTCTCGCCTCTAATCGGTGTTGTCATATCGTAAAGAACTTATCCTTTTAAACAGTATCCGACTTATAATTTAGTAGTATAAGGATTATTTAATACATCTATGGAATATTAAAACCTACTTTATTAAATCTGTAGTATTAATATCTCAATATATGTGTATAACAAGAAAAAAAATATTGATAATATTAAAGACGTGATAACATAGGCTGGATGAGGAAGGCTCGGTCGACTGTACCCAGAAGTAAACATGTGTACAAAAAAGATTGTTTGACCGCGTTGAGATTTAAATAGTGTAGTCTATATTTTATTTTAAGTCTATGGGCGTAACAGTGCTTTACTTTTATGCCTAGGCGTTAAAATGACAAAAAATTAATACTTTTGAGACGTTTGAAAAAATCCTTTGATCTGAAGCGAACGACTTTTCTTTGCGGAATATATTGTTGAAGTATATGTGGAAAAATCACACGCCCCGTAGAATTGTTAATGTTAATCTAGATAGATTTAGCCATTTAGGATAGGACTTTAATTGGAAATATGTCCTAGTTATTTGCAAATCCGATTTAAATATTGTTTTGAATAAAATCAAAAAAAATCTTATTTAAATCAAAAAATCTGACTTTTATAAAAAACCATGATTTTTTCCAACCCTGGAAGCTAGTTTATAGAAGGTGATTTATTTATAATAACTACGATTAATATTATGTATATTGTTAAATCGTACACTGAGAATTTCAAATTCACAATAAAAAAAGTTAAAAAATAATATCTTTAAATTGCTGAGCTGGATAATATTTATTTGAATCTTTTAATTGGCTCGATTTTCCTTATTCAGTGTTAATTAGTGCTGATCAATATTGTCGCAATGAATATAATCAGATTAAATATTTTAAGAAACCAGGGTCGGACTTGCAAATATTTTAAATAATAATTAAATAGTTTTGTTGTTGTTAAGGTACTACAACCCAAAGCTGAGATCGGGAGAGAAAACTGTAGACTGCTATTTCTACCAGACTTCGCAATGTACCAGGGGCCAGCTTTGCAAATACCTTCATTCACCGTGTACATCTCGGGACGAGCATGTACCTAAGAAGGGGGCAGTGTTGCGGACCCGTGTGGACTCGACCTAACCTAACTATGTGTCCCGCCCTCAGATGACCTTAACATCGCATTAATATGCAATATATGCAATTAGTTTCGCATATATGCAATTAGTTTTTTGATTTTCTAAAAATTAACGACACGAAAAAATAAATAATAATTTTCAAAAAAATTCGTTTTTTCCAAAAAACTCAGCAATCCTTGAAATTTTAAAAACTTTTTTGATAGCATCTTGGGGAACATCCCAAGGCGTAACTTTGCCCCAATTTAACCATCTTCGTATCTATTACGGTTTCCGAGATACCAATGCTCGTACCTCGAATTTGTAGCACCCTGTATTACGATTATTGTTTAAAATTGAAGGAAGAATTGAAATATGCAATAATATACAGGGGGTTTCATTTAAAAAAAGAATTTGATGTGCCACAACTTTATGACCTACCCTGTATACTTAAATTTACTAGTAGCTAACAGGCGTTTAAAAACTCATTACAACAGTATCACAGTTTCTGCAGAATAGCATCATTAAATGAAACTGAACATATCGATATTAATTAAATCAAATTGTTTAAGTGATATTTTCAAAAGTCAATAACTTGGAAACGGTTGGTTTGAGATACATTGTGTATTTCGATTTTTGCTTAGAATTGAAGGAAGAATTGAAATATGCAATAATAAAACTTGGATGTGCCACGACTTTATGACCGACCCTGTATACATAAATTTATTACTCGCCAATAGACATTTAAAAACCCTATAATTTTTGTATTTAAATTTTTGCGGTACCTTGTATATTTTACTTTCATAATTAATACCGAATAATCGACCGTTTTCATACATAACAGCGACCCTGTATAGAGCGAAAAAATCTATATCATCTTATCCAATTTACTATCAATATGTAAAATCTCCAGTAAATTAATATATTTTTTAAAATATGCTCAATATCAGGTCTGCCTTGTGGAACCAGTTAACACTTTTGTAAGAGTAAAAAGTATTTATTTAAGTAATTTTTATAAAATTTGACCCTATACCAATACAATACTACTTTTACTTGTGTATAAGCACAACAAAATAATTTATTTATTTGTTTCTATACAACCAGACAACTACCAAATTAGCTGATCTGTTGGAACACTTTTTTTGTATTTATGTAAATTATTTTGATATGAAAAATTTAAAGTAGTATTTTGCAAGTGGTAGTTTTGTGATGTTCAGTTTAATAGATATGTGGGTGTATGGGGTTTGCGTATATGCTGGATAAAAATACTGATAAATTTTCAAAAGAGTAAGCATTAATTAAATATTTATAAAGGTTATAATTATTGTTGATTGAAACGATTGAAAATATTTCCTAATACCTAATATACCTTTCTAGGTAACTGGGGTTCAAACTATACCGTTCGAACTATACCAGTTAAAATACTTGCACTTATTTTTGAGATACCCTGTATACATAAAATAGGCGAGGGCCGCCGACAAAGTGACCAACCTCTAGGGCTGCCACTGGTTTTAATAGCGTATATTAATTTATTAGGTTAATCCAAAAATAAGTTTTACCTTGTCTGATGATTTGATATCGGTAATATGTGGTACTCTTCTCTTAAAACCCGAGGCACCTTCAATTTCAGCTTTTCGCCATTCTGTAGTATACATATACTGACATAACATTTCTCTCATTTTCGGATCTGGAACATCATCTATACTACATGCCGGCGTCATATATATTCTAGGTCTCTTTTTAATAGCTTCTAATTTGTCCTCTTTAGGTACAGCAATCTATGTTGGTAATAAAAAGGTTTAGCTTACATCTAATGGCATGGGCGCCGGAAGAATGAAATTTAGGGGGGGGGGGGCAACGTAAAAATGAATAAAAAATTGACATTTTTGGTAATTATTGGGAAAACTGGAAATCGTCCGATTTTCACCAAAATTGGTATACACCCTATTTTGAAGTCGTAGATTACGACCTGAACTTTTTCTTGGCGTGTCTTCTACCGTTTTTCAGAAAACGGAAATAATTTCAATATCGAATTTTTCTTAATTTCATATTTTTAAGGTTTTCTATACATATTTTGTTAGGTATTCAATAATCAATAATGTTTTTGCTATTTTCTGTTACTTTTTTAACCAATTCTATGCATAATAGAGGAAAATTTGCTAAAATAAATTTGTAAACAATCTGAAAATGTTAGATTATAGCTTTGTTCGGGTTCTTGTTATTACCGATTCTGAACCGTCCAAGAACTCTGCAGCGCATGCGCAAATGAAATAATGTCTTCATATTTCCTTCTGCGCATACGCATCACAGTTCTAGGACGGTTCAGAATCGGTAATAAGAGAAACCCGAAGTAAGTTTATGTGTTTCTGGCATTTAAAGCAACGTTGCCAATGCTAAACCTAAATTTAGCGTGTTTTTTTCGCTCATTCTGGAATTACGAAAGGCGGTCGCCAGAAGAACGGCTCCTTCCCATAACTGCTATTTTACCAACGAGATCTGACTATTTATACCCACGAAGTTGCACGAAAGAGTTTTGATTGCATTGGTTACAACTTCCATGCAGAGGGTGTTAATCTTTTGTTGTTATATTATTAGATTAACTAAAAAAAGATTAACCCCCTCCGCAAAGAAGTTAAAACCAATGCAATCAAAACTCTTCCGCGTAATTTTGTGGATATAGGTGTATATTTAATTATTGTCGATCTCATAATAGGTAATTTATTTAAAATCCCTAATCACCCGAAAAAATAGAAGATATGGCAACGTTGTAAATTTTCAAATTTCTAGATTAGGTCTAGAATATATTTGTCTCTCTTATTACATAGGAGAGAGAAAGAAGGATATATCAAATGTCAAACTTCCATCTGGTCTCAATTTTCTTTGCTATTTTGTTAAGAAAAGTGTTTTTCAGTAAAATGTTGGACACTTTTCTATCCCCAATCAAGTGTGGCTTTTAGATAAACTATAATATAATGAAAATATAGTGAAATTATTACTTTATAGGGCCGAATAAAGAAAAATTCAATGTTGGGAAATAATTTGCCGGTTTTTCTGAAAACGGCAAGAGACCGCCAAGAAAAAATAGATTCGTAATTCATGACCTCAAAATAGTGTATACTCAATTTTGGTGAAAACTGGACGATTTCAGTTTCCCAATAATTACCACATTTTTTTTATTATTTGACATAACACCCGTCAATTTCATAATAATGATTAGTTTTTACGCACACCTTAGTGTCTGAGGAGGGCTATGATCAGTTCTAAAAACTTACAAGAATGATCAGGCCTTGACTTTGAATATTTACAAAATTTAATAACACCAAAAATTACGAACAAAAGATACAAATTTTAGAATAGCAATTTCATTAATATCGACATATTCAATATTAATTTTATTTACAAGGTCTTGCCATGCGTTATTTTTTTTTGATTTTTTAATAATACAAAGAATGTTTAACATCCCATAATATAGGCAACTTTTTATATTCTTCAATTAATATTAACGAAGATTCATTGATCCACTTCATAATTTTAACAAAGAAAACGAAAAAAAATCACACATGCACGCACGAACGCAGACAAAACAAATTGCCGGTGCAAACTGAGTGTTCGCGCACACATAAAATCCCTTTGAGCATGGACCATAAACCGACACCAGACGACTCACGTACGCCGCTGCTCGCGCACAGGCAGATTCAGAGTGAGCGTGCGCGCACAGCCGTTTACACTTGAGCATGGGTGAAGATCAGTGCGCAAGTCACAGGTGGATGACACCATAAAACAATTAACTAGAAAGAAGTGTCAACTCTGTGTTAAATCGTGGAAACACGATACGCCACCAAAAGCCTTCGTTGTCGTCTGGAGAACTAATTTTCCAATTGACAGGTGGACATGATGGCTTCATTTTTATTTCCGTTTCCGGTTATTCAATGGCGGGCCCTTTTTCAGTTTAAATGTATTTTATACTCTTTCTTATCATAAATAAAACAAAACAAAATATTATTCAAACATATTTATTTGAAATATGACACAACGTGACTAAATAAATATAAAAAATAAAGAATTGAATGATTTCTACAGCAATTACTTAATTATATGCAATTTTAACGTAAATTAGTAAGGTATAAGCATGACTTACAGTAATTTGTAAATACATACACGTATTCACAGCCATCAGGGACAGAAAACTGGGGCAAGAACATGAAAACGGAAGCCTTATACAAAAACCTGAAAACAGAAAAACACATTTTTTATACTAAAATTAACAATGTAAAAATATCAATAGGTATAAAATATAAATATACTGTTTAAAAAAGGGTCCATTATTCCCAAAGAGACCTGGTTTATAAATAAAAAAGAGACTTTTAGTCGGATAACTATCAGATTGTATGAGTCAGATTTATTATTGACAATAAATCGCACATACTGGAGATAACTAATGTTGGCTATAGTTAAAAATGATCTTACCTTGCTGTAAATTGTTTCCATTTTCAAAAAAATCGCCTATCATAAACATAACAAAATTTTCTTGCATCTAAAAAATACAGAAATAGTGTTTATTTACTACGTATTTTTAATATACATGGGACATACCTAGTACTGCAGTCTTTTTCTCCAGGATTTTTCATGTAACATATATTTTATATGCTTTATTACCTTTATATTTATAAATTTCTGCCGAAATATCAAAATGAATTTACAAAACAAAACTACACGGAGAGAATTTAAAATGGCGTCGAAATTTGTTCCATTTGTTCTAGAACAAATCTGAAGTTGTCTCTGAAACTGAAATCTGTCAATTCTTAACTGTGAAGTTAGATAATAGTTAGACAAAAACATTGCTGTCCTTGTCTAGGCGGCCATACTTGTCGTCAGGAGATGACAGGAATGACACTAATGACTGTTTCCAATTTTCCTATTTCACTGTCATCCCCCTGGATGACACTTCTTATGGGAGAACTGGCAATGATTGAAAACTTGACTACAAGCGATTTTCTAGGAATCTTCCTTACCGATAAATTATTGACAAGAGTGACAGATAAAACCTTCACATTCTTTCAGTATAAGTTCATCTCTTTTTCTTTCTAAGGTGTGCGTTGAAAGGAGACAAAAACAATTTTTTGCAACCCATAAATTGTTATTCGAACACCACTTTTCTCCTTGTCGGGTCGTTGACGTTGACTTGTCGCCATTTTATTTCTTTTGTTTACACGCTGCATTTTGCTTTGCAAATTTAATACATAAATTATTTAGGCAAATATATAGGTTTTTAATAAAACTCCTCGGACTAACGTGTAGGTAAGTGTTGATAATTTTTTTTTCATCTTAACATGCTCATTGTCGTTCTCCTGATTTTAGGTGACAGAAAAGGATCATCAAATCAAATTGAATTTTATATTTTCCTTCCTATTTATCCTTCCTAAATATCAACGAGATGAGCCATCGGAAGAAAGGGACCATAGTACAAAACAGAAAGGTGATCTTTTTTCTTTCCACTTCGGATATTGAAATTATTATATACTGTAGTCGTGTTCGGCATTATGCTCTGAGAAATATAGATAAACAAAGAACAACAGATATAAAGCATCCCAGAGGAAAAGAGAGGCAATACCTGTATGTACTCTCTCTGATATTTGTGAAAGTTACAGCAAAGTATTGTTGTAAATGTCATCTTTTTGATCGACCTGAAAACTTCGAGCAAAAAGATGACACTTTCAACAATACCCTGACAGATATCAGAGACGATACAGGTTTTTCCTCTCTTTTCCCCTGGAATACTTTTAATTTATTATTCTTTGTTTATCTAGATTTCTCAGAGCACTATGAACGAACTCAGCTTGTATGTTTGAAATAATCGTCCAGTTGGCTTAAAAATGATGATCGAAGACATTTCCCATATAATTTTACTTTCAAAATTATGATATATCTTTTATTTCTAAGCCATCTATGACGCCATTTTTTTCAGTTTTGTTATAATTAATTTTGTCTCTTGATCTACTTGTAACATTATTTTTTAATTTTATTAATTTATTGTGGTGAAATTAATTTCTGTTGTATATTTGATATTAAACATATTTTTAAAAAATTGTGTATTTTTTGTGTTTTTATCTATGTCATAATTAAAAATAAATGAAGAATTAAAATTTTTTATTTTTTTAAACTTCCCGCCATGCGTGACAATCTAGTCCGTAGTTCCTACAAGCGATATTGGGGGCGCTAGTAGCAGTAGACTTGTCAACAGTGTCAAATTTAAACGTCAATTTCACTTTCCATATTTAGCAAGGCGCTAGCACTTCTCCTTGTGTATGTGTTTTGTGTGCTCAAGTCTAAACGCTACCAATTGAAGGGGCTAAGCAGTAACCAAGCAGCTCCATTTTAACGAATTTTTGAGCCAAACTAGGCAACTCCAGGAGCGGTCCAGTTCTGGTGCAAACTGAAAGCAAGGCAACCTTGGGTCAACGTTGCCATATGATGTCTGATTTTTGCAGGGCATGATTGGTCATTTGAAGTAGTAACAGTAAAAATCTCAATTCCTAAAAAGTGGAGTTGTGTTATTGCAGCCACTTCAATTGCTTAAACATTTTTTATTACTTTCGTATTTTATTTATAAAATATAGGGTGTATTTTATGTGTATGAATATAGAGGTCTGGAGTACAGTCAAGCCTGTTCTAGAATCCTGAGAGCCCTTTCAGCGAACCTGGGTGGCAAAGTTGCTTCAAGAAAATATTTTAATCAGGTGGCTCGTGTGAGGCCTGATGATTTTTTTTAATACCCTGTATATTATTACTTTTTGGTTTTCAGATTTACATAACCCTAAGATATGAATAAATATATTTCGATAGTTTTAGAGATATTAAAAAATAAATCAAAAATATATATTTTTCAGCCCTTCTTAAAAAATTATTAAAAATACAAGAACTTTTCTGAAATCAAAACTACATTAGGTATTTACATTAGATGGTCTGTTCTCACTTTACTATAAATATGAAAATCTTAAATTATACAGGATGTTCAAAATTCTACGCCAAACTTACTAAAATATAAAATAATAACACCTTGTATATTATTTTTTCAATAGACGGAGAATTAAAAAATGAACATTTTTTTGTATTTAGAGTATTTCAAAATTTTGAACGGTTTCGCAGATATTTGCGGTTTTATATTTCATATGGCATTTTCCACAGTAAATTTTTATCAAAGCCAAAACCATTGATTTTTCTCTCATATTTTACCATTGAAAGCGCCGTATGAAATAATAACTGCGTGTATTTACAAAATCGTTAAGAATTTTGAAATACTCTAAATACAACAAATTTTCATTTTTTTACTCTCCATCTAATATAAAAATAATATACAAGATGTTCCATTCAAAAAAACAAAGAAAAAATATTTTATATTTTAGAAAGTTTGGCGTAGAATATTGAACATCCTGTATGATTTACGATTATCATATTTATAGCAAAGTGAGAACAGACCATCTAATGTAAAACCTAATATAGTTTTATTAGAACAGTTCTTGTATTTTTAATAATTTTTTTAAGAAAGGCTGAAAAATACATATTTTTTATTTATTTTTTAATATCTCTGAAACTATCGAAATATATTTATTCATATCTTAGGGTTATGTAAAATGATCTAAAAGGAAGCCAAAAATGTAATTATATACAGGGTGTTCCATTTAAAAAAAATCATCCAGGTCCACTCACACTTTTTTGAGCCACCCTATAAAAGTTAAAATATTTTCCTGAAATACATCCTGGTACATACTTTAGGTTTGTACTTAAACAAAATTCTCAAGTTTTTTATTCTAGGAGCTACAGATGCCTGACGCACTATTGCCGGACCCTGTATAAAATTTCGTGTGTTTTACAAGGTTTCTCGTTTATGATTAGATTTATAACGATACGAATTTCACATTACCGTGCTATTTTCTTTATGAAACTAAAGATGTTACACACAGATTTGTCCTAACCCTCTTAGTTGCTGAAATACAGGGCGAAATCAAAAATTTTAAATTTTTTTGACTTGTCTCGTATCTCGGTTATCCTATAAAAGATGTAAACTGAATTCCGTTGAGTTTTCACGCACAATCCAGTGGCGTAACTTGTTTTTCGCTGAGAGCGGTAATTTTCGAGATATGACTCAAATTTGTTCGGACATTTTGTATATTATTTTTTATTTTATTTGTCTTTTTATTAGCTTTTTAAAAATATACTATAGGTGCTTATTTTCATAAATAACGCCAAAAATGCTGTAGTGCTTTTTCGAAAAAAAAAACAGATTATAGCTTATATCGTTGAAAAGCTTAAAAAATGGGGCTTTTTATGAGGTCATGGCCAGATATGGTTTCCATTAAAAAAACATATGTTTGTGTCATACATATGTCAAAAATGGTCGTTGAAAAAGCTAACTGCGAGAGTATTGAAGTCATGGTTACAAAATCCCGCTTAAGATGGGCTGGTCACGTATGCAGAATGCAAGAAAACCGCATACTAAAATCTCTGCGTTACGGTGAGCTTGTAGACGGTAAGAGGAGGCCGGGTGGACAACTGAAAAGGTACAAGGACAATTTTCACGAAAATTTAAAGGGTTATGTATAAGATTAACCGAGGGGTGTCTCACTTGGGTAAAAAATGTACATGTACTGCCAAAATATCATTATACTACTAAGCGACTGCCAATGACTGGGAACAAGACTGCCTATGACTGCCGTGTAATTATTATAGGTGACTGCCGTAAGACTGCCAATGACTGCCAGCGACTGCCAAGAATGATGATGTGCATGTAATTCCTACTACGATGTGCATGTAATTCCAGCAGTGAGACACCCTTCGGGATTAACATGCAGAATGAGTGGGAAGAAACAACTCACAATAGAACTCAATGGAGAAGAGTTGTAAACTCAGTAATAGCGACAACCAAAAAGTAAAGAAGCAACAAAGCAATGAGATTTTTGAAAGTCCGGAGTGCGATAGGCAGATTGTAGCATTTTATTTAAATTACGCATGATTTATATAAATGTACAGAATTATTTTATTTAAATAAATCAAGTTTAAGTCCTCGCACCGAGATGGCATTCTAAGTACTGCTATTGTCTTTTATTTTTTTTTCTCCAAGTTTATTTCTGGCGAAATATTTCAGTCCGGTCGAAGTTTGTTGAGCACTTTATACCTGACGGTGTATAGTCACACTTGCCTACCTTCCCTCACCATATTGGTGGTAAAGGCTCAAACCGATAGAGCTATCGGCGGTTGTTGGCATTTTGCCAATTTGTTTGAGAAAACCCTCTGAGCAGAGGTAAGACTTTTATTTTTAACGTAACGTTTCCTAATATTTCTTTTTTTGACAGGGTTTTATTTTATGGTACGCATTTGGTTTAATGGTAGCATTTTCTGGTGCCATTTTGTTTTTTGTACCTGACATTTGGGCCACGTTTTGTCCCTACAATTCACACCGGGAATAACGGAGGAATCTCCTGATTCCACAGCAGTTTAGGATCCTGTCTGTGTAGAGACGTTTTTATCACAATCCAGTTCCAGTAGCAGATCACCACAACCAGCTTGTGACCAGAACGGATAAAAAAAGGCGAGATCATTTCTTTTTATATAATTTAAATTCACTTGAATGCATTAAGCCCTTCAGGCATATTATATATTTGATCACTTTAGAGTCACTTTGAAATATTTTATTCATGTTATGCATATTTCTGATATCTACATAGTACGGTTTTTTTAAATATAAAGAGTCCCTATATTTTGGTTGTGACCAAGATCGCCAGACTTTTTGCGGAATAATTAATAAAATATTAATATTCAGAAGCGTGCAGATTTAACTACCATCTTGAGTGATCTATTTTGATACATACTATTTACCAACAAACATTTTCAAACATCAAATTTTTCATAGTCTTATTTTATTCTAATTAACATTTAATTATTAATTAAACTTAGTTATTAGTTTATCTCAGCGTTTCATTTGTGTAATTCCTAAAATAAGTAATACCTATATTCTGAGTTGATTTCTCAGTTCTCAACTTAGAAGTTTTCGAAAGTAAATGGAAAACTGAGTGGCGCCCAGTATATTATAAAGACGTAAGTATCACAATTTAATTTTCACTAGCTTACGACCCATTGCTCACCAGCGAACAGCTCCGTCGCATAGTATTAGTTGTTTTAATATTTTTTCCAAAAGAAAATTCTTATAAAAAAACATTCCATCTTTTTTTATAACTTCTAATGCTACAAGATAACATCACATATCGGGCTGTTCAGTCATAGAAAAGCTCATGAAAGAAAACGCCTTGCGTGACCATCTTCTGATGTGTGTCGAATACTCGTCAGCGAGTAATGGCTGTATGTATATGTATGTATGTCAAAAATGATAGGCTTTAGAAAAAAAAAACAGAGAACAGAAGCACCCTGCAAAAAAAGAAGAAAAAAAAACTTACCAGTCCCGGTAATGGATGCCTAGGATCAGTTTGAATTATTGGTTTAGGTCTGTGTAATAAGTCAAACCGAATATAAAAATCATCTTTCAATTTGGCATAGGTTTCGTGGTCTTCGTATATTCTTTTCTTTATTTGAAATTTTTCTGATAAAGGTTTTGCAGATCGATCTAATTTAGAATCAAATTTATCGAACACACAATACTTTTTATAATCATTAGCGTATGTAGTTTTATCCTTGAAGTTATCAAGTATTACTTCTTCGTTGTAACAATTCATGTTCAAATAAAATATAAAATTGTAAAATGACAAGTAAAAAGGTACTTTGACAGGACGACGCATAAAGATCAATCTACAGTCACCGGCACAAAAAATGGACACCTTAAAATTTTCATGTATTTTAAAAAAGTTTTAGATATTCTGTTCTAGTGGAGCGATTTTGATGATTTTTTAAGCAATTTGCAGCTAAATTATTTGACTTTTTAGTGTGTCTTTCTAAATTAAAAACGAAAGTTGCCATCTCTGAATTATACGTGGAAAAACACGTAATGTTGATATTTTGGTGAAAGTTTGAAACACCCTGTGGAGTATGTTAATAAAGCAAGGAATTTGAAAATTATTTTATCACTTAGGTGTAGCTTTTCTCGATAGCTTGTTTTTTGGTTCATCTCAATAGCTTTATTTTTTTGGAGTTATTCGCTTTTGAAGAAGACACTAACATTTGTTCATATTTTTTACATTAAAATCATACCTTTGCTTTTGGTCCGAACGAACAGACATATAAAATAGTATTTATGATTTATGTAATGCCACTGTCTTTGAAAAATCATATTATTATTGACTGTTGGGCAGTTATTTTCGCAAAGATGGTTGTAAGTCCAAAAATTGATCTCTACCGTGATAAATTAAAGCAGCAATAGCCAATACTTCAGAACTTAAAACCATCTCTACTAGAGTAAACGTCAATAAACAATAATAATATGACTTTTCAATGCTAAAATTACTGTAAATCGTTACTATCTTCTTCAAAAGGGAATATCTCCTATAAAAAAACTATTGAGATGAATCAAAAAACAAACTATCGAAAAAAGACGCACCTAGATGATGAAATAATGTTTATATTCCTTGCTTTGTTAATATATTCCACAGGGTGTTTCAAATATTCACCAAAATATCAAGAGATTCTAAAATTATGAAGACGGCGCGGCGATGGCGTTAAATACAGGGTGTCCCAGAAATAAGTGCAAGTATTTTAAGGGGTGTCAGATCTCGAAAAAAGAAACATATTTCCTCTTTATCGTTTTTCAAATAAGTCCAAAATAACGGAGTTATTTGACTTTGAAAATTCCCAGAAAAAAATATTTTTTGCTAAAATTTTGAGAACCACTGGATCTTTTTTGGATTTTCTTTCTTGTAAATTTAATCTACTACCTATGTTGCCATATTATCAAGTTAGGATCTCGAAAACTATGGGATAGGAGATAAGAGAATGGTTAACTGGGGCAAAGTTGTGCATTAATATGCCAATTAGAAACATTTATAATTTCGAGTACCTAGTTCCGAAAATCTTCTACTTCTTCTTCGTACGTTAGGACTAAGTGCGGTGTTTTCTTTAAGGGTTTCCTAGGAGCAGTTGGGATGATGAAGACCAGCTTTTTTACCATCTTATAGGTGGTCGAGGTGTGTTTGGTTGTTTCTCCTTATGTTTTTTAACTAAAAACTAAAAAAATTTAAAAAAATTCGGAATTTTCAAAACATTTTTTTCGTGAAAAAATCCTCATAGGCGTGTTTTTGGGGTTGAACTATATCTGGGACACCCTGTATAGTTTATGGCGTATTTATACAGAATGAGTCTTAAATACCGGCAAATATTTTCAGGCCTGATGGGTCTCGATGAAAGAAACGTATTTTCTCTTTACCTTTCTTTCAGATAAGTCCAAAATAACATTACAAGCTATTCATGTTTGAAAATTTAAAAAAATTGCGAGCCACCGGATTTTTTTCTGTATTTGCATTTCTCTTTGTGTCGTAATCATGGTAATATCAGACCGGTGAAGGTTCTTTGCTACGGGGATGTAGCCACATCAGGGTCCTGTAACAGTGCATCGGCCAGATGTAGCTCCTATAATAAACATCTTAGAAATTTTGTTTTAAGTGCAAACCTAAAGCATGTACTATACAGGGTGGCCCATCGAAAACGTTCCGCAAGGCATAACGGCCAGGGTAATTTTTTTTTCAGAAAATTCAAAAACACGTCAATTTTGTTTGTGAGGGGGACAATTTTTGCCCCAAAAATTATTGCAAAATCTTCAACCCTCTAAGCGGGGGTGTCATCCCCCGATTTTTTTCAAATGGAAAGGGGGGTCAAGTGGTACCGCAGTGAAAAGGGCTTTCTACGAGCCCTAACAACTATATGTTGGGACAAGGTCTTTTTTGCAATAAAAATAATAATGTGTTAAAACGACTCAATTTATTTTGTTTATTATTCTAAATTCACACATTGCAATATGATCTGGACAATTTTACTATATTTTTATAACTTTGCAAACAAATCACTTTTGATAATAGCTTATTTTGCCAAATTCAAGCCAAATTTGCTGACTACTATATATTGGGACAGCACAACACGAAATTTGTTTAATACGGAGTTACATCACCTTTCGCCTTAACAACTGCCTGAACTCTTATTGGCATTGTATTTACCAAAGATTAGCACATTTGAGGAGAAAAATTATCCCAAATTTCCTGCAGTTGTGTCCGCAAATCAAAAATTGTTCGTTGAGGGTGGTTTCTTAAATATTGCTTCATTTTATGTCACACAGTTTCTACAACATTGAGGTCCGGACTACTTGCAGGATGGGATAGAACTTTTATATTATTATTACCGAACCAATTTTTAGTTGATTTTGCTGAATGGCACGATGCTCCATCTTGTTGGAAAATATAGTCTTCGTTTGGAAACAGTTCTTGAGCACTAGGCAAAAGTGAGGTCTCAAGTATATGTTGATATTTTTGGGCGTTAACAGTGCCATCTATAAAATTTAATTTGCCCAAACATCTTACTGACATGCAACCCCAAACCATAATCCCCTTAGGAAATTTTACAACCCTCTTTAAGCAACCTTTATGAAAGGCTTCTGCTTTATTTCGTATTATTCGTTTTGGATGATCTTCAACGCAAACATCAAATTTAGACTCATCGCTAAATATGACCTTATTCCAATCAGTTTGTATCCACGATAATTTAGATTTTGCACAATTGTAGCGATTTTTCTTTTGAACTTCTGTCAGTAGCGGTTTTTTTTTGGGCCTAAATAAGAATTTGTATCAATAACACAGGCCGACATGATTTTTGTAACACGAGTCAGTTGCAGAATTTCTTCATAAAAATATGCTTCTAATAACAGAAAAAATACTCCTGAAGCTCCTACACGTACCACTTTTCAGTTGCCTAATTACGCCTCTTTTTTGCAGGTAGTCAATTTTATAGATGTCAGGTATTAAGTCTAGGTAGATTCGTTTACATACAGGTAAATTTTATGATGGGATGATTGAAAGGGACGCATTTTGTGCACTATAATATATTGTGAAAAACATAAGAGAGTTCAGTTTTCAGTTGATTTTCGACGTGAGTTGTTCTATGCGTGTAGATAAATAGTACGAAAATGTCAAGTCAAACGCGCCGCAGTTGTAAAGTGTCTCCTGATCGATTTTGTTACATTTGTGGAGAATTTATGGTGCAATCACAAGCCAGACCATTTTCTGAAAATGTGAAGAAAGCCTACTTCAAGTATTTTGGAGTTTTGGTTGGAGATCAAGACAAGCAGTGGGCTCCTCATGTGTGCTGCGTTACTTGTAGCGTGTCGCTTGTGCAGTGGATGAAAGGGAAGAGGAAAAATGCCATTTGCGGTTCCAATGGTATGGCGAGAACCAACTAACCATTTTGACGATTGCTATTTTTGCCTGACGAAAACTGAAGGTTTTTCCAAAAACAAAAGCACAAGATCGAGTATCCCAATTTGCCGTCTGCCATACGACCTGTTCTTCATGGTGCAGATCTCCCAGTGCCGATCGCGCCCTTAGACTGGCAAGGTATTGTTTTGGAAGATAAGGAAGATATTGAACCAAACAGCTCTGGAGACCAGTGTACTGATCCTACCTTTACCCCAGAGGGCGGTTCCGACAAGCCACATTTGATTGTTCAAAGCGAGTTGAATGACTTAGTGCGTGACTTGGGGTTATCAAAGCAGCAGTCAGAACTTCTTGGATCCCGGCTTAAGGAATGGAATCTGTTAGCCAATGAAACAAAAATCACCACTTTTAGAAAAAGAAATGCTCCGTTCTCTGCATTCTACAGTATGGAGGATTCGTTGTGTGCATGTACTGATATCGATGGCTTAATGCAGGAACTTTCTATAGAACATTCTCCTGTGAGTGGCGCTTATTCATAGATTCGTCGAAATATAGCCTAAAAGCTGTGTTATTGCATAACGGAAATTTAAAACCCTCTATACCAGTTGCCCATTCAGTGACAATGAAGGAAACTTATGAAAATATGCGCATGCTTTTAGATAGAATCAACTACAACAGGTATAAATGGCAGATATGTGGGGACTTGAAAGTTATAGGAATTTTAGTGGGACTTCAGGGAGGATTTACAAAATATTGCTGTTTTCTTTGTTTGTGGGACAGTCGTGCAGTAAATCATCATTATGTACAGAAAATTTGGCCAGAAAGAAGTGAATTTCAACCGGGTTCCCAAAATGTCAAGTATATCCCTCTTGTAGACCCCAAAGACGTCCTCCTGCCTCCTCTTCATATCAAACTTGGCCTCATGAAAAACTTCGTGAAAGCTATGAATAAAGAAGGTGATGGATTTAAATACCTAAGGCAAGTCTTTCCCCAGTTGAGTGATGCCAAATTGAAAGAGGGTATTTTTATTGGACCACAAATCAGAAAATTGTTGGACGACACAAATTTCACAGACACGCTTACCAGGCAGGAACTCAGAGCATGGACCTCATTTGTTAGTGTAGTGAGGGGATTTTTGGGAAACAATAAGGATGCGAACTACGAACAATTGGTTAACGAGCTTTTAGATGCTTATAAATCGCTTGGTGCCCGAATGTCTTTAAAATTCACTTTCTCTCTCATTTGTCATTTTTCCCTGAAAATATGGGTGCTGTCAGTGATGAGCAAGGTGAGAGATTCCATCAAGACATAAGGACAATGGAAATTCGTTATCAAGGACGATGGGATCCAGCCATGATGGGTGATTACTGTTGGTTTTTGAAGAGAGAAGACTCGTTTCGATTGTTTTTGTACTTTTTAG